CTGAAACATGTGAGATCAACCAAAACAAAGAACTGTATTAGGAGCATTAGATAATCTGGTTTTTTAATTCTTAGTTTTATTAATGTAATTGAGGTTATGAGACTCCATGGTTATTGATTTTGTTTTTGTTCAAAAAGTATGTTCCTCTGAATATAAATTATGTCACTGTTTTGCCTTAAAAATTTGAATATCTCCCCTCTCACATTAAAAAGGTATTTGCAGCTGGGTGCCAGTAGCTCATGCCTGTAATCCTACGTACTCAGGAGGCTGAGATCTGAGGATGCTGGTCCAAAGCCAGCTTGGGCAGGAAAGTTCATGAGCTTTCTCTCCAAATAACCACCAGAAATAATGGAAGTGTCTTTGTGGCTCAGGTGGTGTAGAGCTCACCTTGAGTTGAACAGCTCAGGGATAGTGCTCAGGCCCAGAGCTCAAGCCACAAGATCAAGTATTTACATACAGTTAACTGTTTGATTCTGGGATCATTTTTCCCTTAAAATTCTGCTATTTTATTCATATATATATATATATATATATATGAATAAAATAGCAGAATTTTAAGGTATACATACTTTATAATCTTAGAATTAAATAGATTGGTCAACTTCTACACCTTACTTTTCCAGAAACTCCCAAATTCCATCTTTGAAATTTTAAGGAGTTTTTGGTTATTTGTGTCTGAAATTTTCCTTTCCTTTAAAAGTTTTTTCCCCTCATTTTGTTGTTGGTCCTGTGGCTTGAACTCAGAACATGGGCACTGTCTGTGAGCATTTGCAGTGCTCTACTTGCCTTTCTTTTATTAATTGCTTCAGGAAACTAGTGAAAAGTTTCCTCCCAGGTGTTTCTTAGAACATAGTACTCCTCCTCCAAGACTCTTCCAAAAATGGTTGTCTAGGGTGATCATGGTGAATGTAGGTGGATATAGAGTACAGGGTAGGTCTATGTTCATGTGAAGCTTGATCACCAGTGTGTTTTTATTTTTCTGTTTTGCATATCCTGTTTTGTTTTTATTTTCTACTTGTTCTCTGATCCTAGAAGTTTCTGCAAGCTAGTGGTCCTCAGACTTGTCTTCCCAACTGTATCCATTACACTGTGGAATGAACCTTTTGCCTCCCTCGCTCATATCAGACATCCTAAGCTTGTCTCTTAAGGATTTGTTGAGATTGTTGATGATCCTTTCCCCACATCATGATTGGGAAGGACTGTGTTGGAAACATTCATGCCTGATATTCAGTCCTCCCGTGCATGGGTTCTCCATGCCTCTTTTAGTGGACCTCAGCTATTCCTCATGAAAATGGAGATCATGAGGCACATTTGGCTATATAGATGTCAACTTTGGAGCACCTATAAAATATGATGCAAAAATACTTTCTTTCTGTAAAAGTAAAATAAATTTCTGAGAAGCAAGGAGATAAGGATCAGGTATAAATGAGTGCTTCCTTGACTACTGTGTTATATAGTTTTTATTGTTCAAGGGTACATTTTTCAAACATTACTTTCTAAGTATTATGTTCATTGTGGTAGTATAAATAGAATTTACTTCCTACATTGTTTTTGAATTGTTCGTTGCTCACAGAATAAGTCTCATTATTTGTTATACAAATATTATATCCTCTTCCTTCATTCATCTCAATGATTGACTGTTGTAGATCCTGAGGTAGCAGGTACAAGTATGGTATGTTCAGGTATTCAGGGATAGAATATGGCTCTGACTTCCTCTGGAGGAAAAGATGAATGAATGGAAAACTTGGAGCTTATGCATAACACTTCTAGAATTCCTTTGGCAAGAGATGTGGTGCACCCCTCTTGGGTTCCACTATGCCCGGAGAATCCTGTAGTTGCGATGATCCACCACCATGGAGGGCATGTGGATTATGGAGGGCTTGTGGATTTCACATCTTGTCTACTGTTGTGCTGGTGGAAGTCTGCCAATATGCACTGCACGACTGGGCTCAGAGGAGTGACGTGATCAGTGGTACCTTGCTGGCCCCCATGTTTGTCAGCCTGTTGGGACAAGCTCACCCTGACATCTGTAACTGGCTGTTGCTGAGGCCTTTTGGAATAATGCCTCTCTTCATCCCATACCTCTGTATCACAGACATGTCCTGTTTCATGGTTTTGTATCATTTACTGTGCAAGTTTGTGTTATGTATCCATACATGCTGGTAGTTGAGCTAGGTATGGTTTTCAAGGGTGGGGTGGTTTTTGATGCCTCTAGCAGGAACAATTGTGTTCTCACTAACTGCATGAGTAATCCTAGCTTACTATGCAATCCTCATAACTTACATTGCATGTTCAGTTGATAGAACTATTATGGTATAATAAGTTTGGGTCTGTTTGCTATTGAGGTTTAGAGGGCTCTTAGCCATTGCTGCAGATTTTTGGGAATATTGGTTGCCAGCATTTTTGCTACCCTAAATGTTCTTGCTAGTGCTACTGCTTCTGCTGTGAAACTTATCCACACCATATATACAACACAACATGTTAAAACTTTGGCTTGATATGTTTCTGGTGCCCTGGCATGCAGGTGGGCTTAGATAAAAAGATTGTGATATGTTTTATGATTTGGAAACAGCAATGATGTATGTTGATAATCAGGTTGACATGCTAAAGACCCGGTTAAAAATGATGTGTCATGCTAATGGTTAGTACATCTGTGTTATCCCTCTTAAATAGGATGGAAATATGATTTGGGCCAATATCCAGTGACATATTTGAGCAATCTAGTCCTTTGATAATTTTTTTGGGGGGAGTCTGGTAATGAGGCCTGAACTCTGGGCCTGGGTGCAGTCCTTCAGCTCTTCACCTCAAGGCTAGCAGGCTACCACTTCAGCCACAGTGCCACTTCCATTTTTTTTTTTTTTTTTTTTTTTGCTTATGTGGTGCTGAGGAATCAAATTCAGGACCTCATGCATGCAAGGCAAGCACTCTACCATTGAGCCGCCTTTCCACTCCTCCTTTCATAAATTAAGCTTAGACATTATGCAGCTTCAGGGTCAGAAATCTGATATTGGTCACTCCACCCTACAGGTAGCACACCCTGCAGACTTAGCTGCATCAGTTCTGCACTACCTGCAGGGATTCAACCTGGGAAATAGCAATCCTTTTACCATTTCTAAGCATTTTCCTGTTTCTTGTTTTGGTATTCTTTTTCTTCCATTTTTCCTGAGATATAAGATGTGCTGCTTTTTCCAGATTCAGGCTGATAGACACTTGCTCAATTTACAAAATAAAAAGGAGGACTTGTTGCAGACTCAGAGGTGCCAAGAGCTGGCAAGGTGTGAGCAAAAGTTCCACAACCACAGACTGCAACTTTCAGGGCTATAAGACAAAGATTTATTCCACAGCTTAATGGGTAAGGTCTGAGACGACAAGCCTGAGGTCCTCTAGGTATGTAGCCTACAGCTACTGAGAGGAACTGTTAGGATCAGAGAAGAGGTAAGAATTCTAAAGAGATTTTCACATGCAAAATGAAAAGACAAAAGCAGACTGGTTTGTAAATGATTAAGATTCACATCAATATAGACCTTCACTAAACTTCACTCTTCTAATCACCTGCATTCATTCTGACCCCCAAACCACTCTCTTTGTAGGAAAATCAGGGTAATGTGCCATGTACTTAAGAATCGCTGTGAGGAAACTTTTCACTAGTTACCTGAAGAAATTATTAAAGGAAATCCAAGTAGAGCACAGCAAATGCTCACAGACAGTGCCCAAGCTCTGAGTTGAAGCCTCAGGACTAACAGCAAAAAGACAAAAAAACATAAAACCCTTAAATGAAAAGCAAAATTCAGAAACAGACAAAAACTCATTTTCATTTAATAGATAGAATTGGGGATTTCCTGGAAAATTAATTGTTTGATTTTGCTAAATCCAAATTAACACAAGGATTATGGTGCATATCCACATAGCCATCTTCTTATTCTATGCCAGTGTGTACATTACACTAATGGAAAATGACCTGGTATAAGTTTAGTGTCTATGAGTACATTTGTAAGATGAGAGGGGAGGTATTAAACAATGTAAGGCAAAACAGAGATGTAATTTACACTCAGCAGAGCACAGGCATAGAACAAAAAGAAAGGTTTGAGAAACACAGTCTCATAACCTCAATTTCATTATTAGAACTAAGTACCAAAAAATCAATGCATCCAATTCTCTTCATATATATCCATTTTCTGGATGATCTTACAATATTTCACGAAGGAAACTGTGGTTTTGAAGAAGAAACTCACCTTAGCTCCCACAACAGGGAGAGAAAAGTCCCAATGCATCCAAGCACTCTTGTGACCAGAGGTGAAGCAAGGTGGTGCCAAGCATTGTGGGAATTGTAGTCTCCTTGGAGGGCTTTTGCTTTGAAAATCCTGAGTTGTTTTTGTTTTTTGGAGGGCGGAAGTGGAGCAGAGATCCTTTTGCGCATGCGTCTCCCCGCCCACCACGGGCGTTTTAATTTGGCCCCTACTGGATTCTTTCCCTTTGCCTTGCTGCTGGAAGTGCCCTGAAGTACAGTTTCGCCATCCATAGGTGTGAGCCAGGAGGCAAGCGCCCAGCTCTGTGCAGTGGAGCTTGGGAGCTGTAACTTGAAGGAATCTCAGGCTTTGGAACTGATGTCAGGTAGGAACTGTGGGATTGCTGCTGGAGTCTATCCTCCGCGGGTTTCTTTTTCTGGTTCCGTTTTTTTGGTCGTTGGTGGGTCTTGAACTCTGGGTCTGCAAGCACCGTTCCTGGGCTCGTCAGCTCATAAGGAGAGCTTTACACTTGAGCCAAAGCACCCGCTTTCCCCTCCACGCTTTTCTCCAGTCTGGGGTTGATAATTTGCTTGAGGCTCAGGAGTTTGTGCTGCCATTAGCTTCTGGGCCCTGAGCTGCAAGAACCTGGTTCCCAAATGTCTGAGAGCAAGCTTGGTGATTCTGCAGACAAGGAGAGGCCAAGAGTTGTGAATTTGTACCCCAAGACCAAGGGATTCTTCTATTAACATATGTGACTTTATTTGCTTTGCCCAGGTGTAAGAGGAGTACAGGAAGACTTCTAGTGAAATTGTGAGGTGTGTGCCTGCCTTGAGTCCTCTTACATTGAAGTTGTATTTGGGGCTTCTGTGTTGTTTCTTCTAGAGATATTTTAATCTTTTTGGCTTGAGGTTTTAATCTCCTGTCTTGAGTTCACAGATCTTTGTTCACGACCCTGTTTTTAGAGACAGTTGTACACGGGATATTGGAGTAGTGAGTGCTAGTCCTGTATTTTTAGGAATGAAGTCTAGCAATGTTTGAAGCAGAGCACCCTATGAATAGGAATCTCCATCCTAAATGGACACACCTTGTCAATTCTGAGAAGCCCTAAAGGAAAGAAGCAGAAAAGCACAGGAAGGGGAAGATGTTGCTAGCTTCCCTTGCCTTATGCAAAAATTGCTACTTCCCTGAGCACCAGATTCACGTGGTACTCTTTCCTACACCACTCTCAATCATTTTGTGTTGTTGTAAGATTTAAACTAATTTATAGGAGTCTTGATGAGCTGGCTTGAGGAATAAGCCAGAGCATAGTTATCAGAGGGTACCTGAGGCTGTGGTTTGGGATGGTGGGGTAATTGTTATGACTGAAAGAATCAATTCATGTACTAATCCCTAATGCTCTTCCTGCTAATTTATTCAGCCTGGATTACCACTAGGAATTTTAGTATGAAATCAGTGAAACTTATCTTAAATGAGCCATCTATGGATTTGCTAATGCTAGCTCTAATCGATTGGTTGTGCCTGGTAGTGCAGAAAGTGTTGTTCGGGGACATATGGCCTTCAAAGAAAATTCACAGAAGAAAAGTTGAGGTAATATGTCTTACTCAAGGTTGTATGCTTTGTAGGTGTTGCTTATCTTCAGGTGTGTCACTCCTATATGGAGTATTTTATGTTGTATTTTTAGGATGGCCAAAGATCTTCCCTTGACTGTTAAGGGAAATGAACATTCGGGACTTCTCAAATCTGGGTTTACCTCATCTTTACTCATGTCCCTTTGGCCAAAGCATGTTAAATGGCAAATTGCAAGTCATTGCACAGGTGTGCAATGGGTACAATGAAATGTGCCATTTGACACCATTATTTTAATATTATAACACAAGAAATATATTCTGTATATATTTTCCTCTATACCGTTGGGTGAAAACTACTGAGTTACATCATACATGATTTCCATGGTGTTTAAATATGTAAATGATGTTAGAACACAAATCCAATGAATTCCTAGTATACCTTCACATTAAAAAAAGCAGTTCATACATCATGAAGTATATTCAGTAATAACTACGTTTTGTGGAAATATGATATGTTTTTGCTTTCAGTTATTCAATATTTTTTGTAGGAACATTCAGTTTTACAAATGTCACATGTACATAAACATAGAAATTAGTTGGTTTAATAATACCTATCTACCAGGAAATGGACTGGATTTGTGTTTATTGGAGACTTTAATGCTTTGCCTGAGACATTAACGATTCTTCTAAGATGGCTTTACCGTTTTCCAGCCTATGTATTATGTTTTCAAGAGGAAATTCCGGGCCCAAAATCTCACAGATTCATTTCTGAATCCGTCATTTCCCTTATATCCCAGCCATGCTTCCAGAATCCTCTGCTCATTGTCAGCAGCAAGACAGAATGAATGGATCTCTGGTGAGTTGTTTTTTTATTTCTCATTTGTTTTCCATTCCATTTTATGAACCTAAAAATGTCCAAGAATTACAAACAATACCAACCACACAGATTTAGCCTCAGGAACATATTCATAAATCAGATAAAGTTGGCTTATAGATTAGCAGATAAAGATTGCTTGTAGGTTTACCAGATTAAATGATTATATTCTTTCTAAGTTGAATGCAGATTGGCTTCAGAATGTCTAGGTTTTGTCTTGTCATAAAATGTAATCAAATCTGTTATATGATGTAATGACACTGAGCAGGTTACTTCTCATGGAAGGTGAAGGATAGATTGCCACCAGATCACATCCTCATGAGTAACATTAAACTATCTCAATGAAATTTTCCTGGAATTGCTGAAATAGTGTTGTGGACACACACATTTGTGTGTTCTTAAGGAATGATTAACCTATGTGTACTTAAATTACTCTCCAAATATACTTCTTGGACTACTTCATGGTCTTGGTCTTACTTGAAACTTAGGCTGTATTTGTTGCTAAACTTTATGGTCTTTCTACAAATTCCTGTTTGTTTTCTTTGCTTTTCTTTTCTTTTTTTGGTCCAGTCATGAGGCCTGAACTCTGGGCCTGGACGCTGTCCCTCAGATCTTCAGCTCAAGGCTTGCGGTCTACCACTTGAGCCGCAACACCACTTCTGGTTTTTTTTTTTTTTTTCTGCTTATGTGGTACTGAGGAATTGAACCCAGGTCCTCATGCATGCAAGGCAAGAGCCACCTTCCCAGCCCTCCTGTTTGTTTTCTAAAGTATCCTCACAAGATTTCTTTCCTCTATTTTCTCTCTCTATTTTTTGATTTTCTACTCGCTAGTGTAGGTTAGTTTTCTATTTTTCTCTCTTTCTATCTATCTTTCTAGCATTTTTTCTTACTTTTCTCATTCCCTCTTTCCTCCATATGTGTCTCAGTAGTTTCTTTTCTTCAAATGATCTATCTGGGAACCACTTTTTCTTAGTGATCAGTTTTACTTTGCTGACATGGCTCTTAGGATTGAAATTCTTCCTACCCATTGTATAGGAAAATTGTTGCCTAGAGAGTTCTGCAGGATTCCAGAAACAAAGAAAATTAGAGAAACACAAAAACATAAACAGATAGACTTAGGGAAAACCAGGGATCCAAAGGCTCTCTGGCACTTGGTTCCTGGGTGCCAGCAAGCAAGCATAGCTCCTTGAGTGCACACAGGGAAGATTACCATTGATAACATGCAAAATTGAAATATCTATATTAATATTACAATCAGAGCCACAACAGTTTGTGAGGGATGCATGTTTCCTTATTCTCCTGAGACAGAAGACTGGCTCCCAGAGAAATCCAGACATGGAGTTCACCTTACCTAGCCTTCAAGGTCAACAGCAGCTAAGGTTCAGATGCTGTCTTTCTATCTTTCCAACAATAAGGAAAAGGCCTGCACTCCAGTCTCTTAACCCTGTCCAGAATTCTCTTTTAAGCCTTCTGGGGCCAGCTCTCAGTGCTCTCATTGTGGTCAGGCTGGAATTCCAGCCTCTCAAACGTTTTCCCCCTTCAGCTCAACTTCAGACTTCCCTACAGAAACGTACTTCCTTCCCCCAATCAATACACTACAAGAAAATCACTTTTCTCCTGTTATGTTATCTTTGGTCTAACTTCATTTGATGTGGTATTCTGTTTTGTTTTTCCTTCTCACTACTTTTGAATATTTTAATTCACTGCCACTACATGATAAGAACTGGTTTTGATTTAAAAAAAATAGAGTGACAAGGTGTTCTCTATTAGAAATATCACTTGTTGCAAAATCTCACAGATGTTTGGTCAGGAATTGATTTTGATCTCTGAGGATTTTCGCTATTAACTAACCCAAGTGGAAATATATCCTTAGCAGTGTACTGGACTAATAACTCAGTAATATGTGACACATTTGAGAATTTGGTCATATTTATAATTTTTTTCATATTGAGTTTTCTTTGAGCTTCTATACATTTTCTCCACCTTCCATGAAGCCTATTAAAATGAAAATCTTGTAAAGTAATATTTTATTCCCCTCCCACCTGTATTTTGTATGGTAGAATGTAGGCAAAGTTTACAAAACTTCGTGGTAACAGTTCATTTTTGCATAGGATGGAAATATTAGGGTATCTATGACCACATTTCAATATTTAGTATTTAAACCAAACATGGTTAACCTAGGATATTTTTATATGGGAACTAAATCAAATCTTATATGGGCCAAATAAATCATTAGCTACTTTCTGGAGTAGTGTTAATCTTTTTTAACATTCATATGGACACTGCTTCTCATAGATCTAGTAATGTTCTATGTTCTGTATTCCGTGTGATATCCTGAATGTGTTCTGCTTGCTTATGAGAATACGTGTTAATAGAAAGTCTAAATAGGATTTAGGGTGAAGCAGTATATGTAAATGCAGAAAAAATATTTGTTTAATTCATTGTTACCCTGATATGTACTAAAATTTTATCAAAAATGATAATATAATTTATCAGACACCTCCTTAGACTTATTGTTATCATGCCAGATTATTGTCTCCTTAGAGTTTTTAATATTGTCTCTATTGCTAGCAGCAGAAATGTGTTTGCATGCATTGGGGAAACTGTAATTTCTTTTTATGGTCTTGGGGCTTGAATTCTGGTCCTGGTTGTTGTCCCTCAGCAATTCAGGTCAAGGTGAGTGCTCTACCACTTGAGTCTCAGTGCTACTTTCAGTTTTCTGGTGGTTTATTGGAGATAAGTGTCTCATGGACTTTTCTACCTGGGCTGGTCTTGAACCTTGATCCTCAGACCTCAGCCTCCTGAATAGCTAGGATTACAGGCATAAGCCACCAGTGCCCTGCCAATCTGTGTATTTTAATGACCAGGTTTATATATTGTCAAATATTTTTAATTTGCTATTTAATTCTTCTAGTGAATAGATAACACAGCAAGCTGCAAACATTTTATGTAAGATAAAAGCATACCTGCAGTATAATGAAATTCCAGATTGGAATTCTCATGACCCACGTCTGATTTCTTGATGGAAATGTGCCATTGCAGAAGCTGATGTCATTTGATGATGTGGCTGTGTACTTCACCTGGAAGGAGTGGCAGGATCTGGATCCTGGTCAGAGGACCCTTCACAGAGATGTAATGCTGGAGACCTATAGCAACCTCATGTCCTTTGGTGAGCAAAGATCACTTTTACATGGAAGGTCAAGTCCTTTTATTTTAGTAAACATTTGACTGTTTATGTTATTTAGGTACAAGATTCCAGTCCATTCCCAGGTAAAAAAAAACTGCTAGTATAAAAGCCAGCCAAATTCAGGTCTGGGAGCTTGGTGTTCTTTGCCTTTCACACTACTGCATGAGCCACAACTCCATTTTGGCTTTTGTTCTGGGGTATATTCTGGGTTTCAGTGCCCAGGTTGGTTTCAAGCCTGCCTCTTCTGATCTCATCTCCTCAATGAAGGGTTACAGGTGTAAGCCTTTGGACCATTACATTTTCTTTAAAAAAAAAAGATTCTAGTACTAGGGAAGTGTCATTTTTTTATAAGGGAAACTTCACATTTATTATATGTAACTCAAGAGCTAATTGTGTTCTTATTCTTTAAGAAGCCTAATCAGTAGTTGGATAAAAGTTCTAAACTATGATCCACTAATAGGAGACTGACTTCCCAACCTTGGGGTGATTATTATAGGTAGATCTACAGTCTAGATAGCATATACATTACTACTGACAGTATGATCTGGAAATCAGTAGTTAAAAGTGTGTATTTGTAAGCCAAACTTGACAGGGTTTAGTGCTTCAAGCTTTGAATCCTAGAATCTCTGGAGGCAGAAATCTGAAGATTTTGGCTTGAAGCCAGAAACTGTAGAAAAATGACCATGAGGCTCTTATCTCTAATTAACCATTCAAAAACTAGAAATGTAGCCAGGACTCAAACTAGTAGAATGCTAGCTTTGAGCAAAAGAGCTGAGTTCAAGCCACACAACTGGCACAATAAACTCAATGCTGGGGGAA